TGATCGGCGAACTCTGTGGCATACCCCCGGTATGTCCTGAACATGTGCGGACGCGACCATCACTCTTCCCAGTAGGTCTTGTTGGTTGGGAACAGGAGTTTCGTACACTAAAGCTTTCAGATGGCCCCAGAGAAAATAATCCAGTGGGGTCAGGTCGGGTGACCGCGCAGGCCAAGGCACAGGGCCACCTCGGCCTATCCACCTATTTGTCGTCCAAATACTGCCGCACTTGTAAAGAAAAGTGGGCTGGAGCGCCATCGTGTTGAAACCACGTGTTGGCTCTTATGTTCAGTGGCACATTTTCTAATAGTTCCGGTAGTACATGCTGTAAGAATCGACCATAAGCATGCCCATCCAAACGTGGTGGAAGCAAATATGGCCCGATGATATGCTCGTCCACAATGCCGCACCAGATGTTAATTGAAAACTATGTTGGTCTCTATGGATGGCTATGGCATGAGGGTTTTCTTCATCCCAAATGTGACTGTTACGGCTATTAAAATAACCGTCCTTTGTGAAACAGGACTCGTCAGTGAACAAAACGTAGCGACCAAAGTTTGGTTGCCTCAACTCCTGCTGCAGCCACCAACGACAAAAACGTCGACGCGGCAGATAGTTTTCTGGACCCATGGCTTGGACTTTTAAAAGGTGGTATGGGTGTAGTTGCTGGTCATGGAGAACCCGCCAAGCAGTAGTTTGAGACGCTCCCATTTCATGTGCAATAGCACGCACGCTTGTACGCGGATTGGCCTCTACATGATGCAGAATCGCTGACACGAAGACGTCCATGAATCCTTGCAAAAATGGCGTGATGCGGATGAGGACGTTCTGGAAACCGTTGGGCGTAGATTCACGAGGCTCGTCTTCCGTTATCACCAGCTTCTCCGTAAATTAAATGCATATCCGCAAGTTCCGCATACGAATAACGCTGCATTTTAACACTAAGGTACTGTTATTTACTATCTAGTTTGACGCACCACTCAGATAAATTAAATGAATCGGTGTGGAGAATTTACGATAACAAAAATGTAAACACAGCAGGCTTTTTTTACAAACCGGCGAGACCATTAAATGTGCTAGACGAACATTTTGCAGCTAGTGAATTTTTTGTTTCTCCTATGAGCTCTTAAGGTAAAATTAGCGGTAGTGCTCAAACGGCATATTTACGAACAGGGGTTTATAAGGCAAAATTGCATATTTTTATGCCCTCTACAACCCCTATCATTTTGTCGCAATAATTATGGAACACCCTGTATAACTTAACCGTTTTACTTGGTGATTATTCGTCTGCTGATTGCTTGGATTGACTTAAAGTTTGTTCGTACAGTGGTCGGTGACTTGTCGGTGACCGTGTCTGGGGCCGTGTGAAATCCGTCTATGCAGGGTGACTTTGAAGTTGAGTCATTAATTTTCAGATAATGATTGTAGAAGGAAGATAAACCAAAATATGTGTGTAAAAAAAAAGGTTACCTTGTTTTATAAAGTAGCCTCCCGACAAGTATTTCAGTGCAGACCTGTATTTGATCGTGCGGTCTTGGAGCACCGGCATGCCCTCCCCTGTGAGGTCACCTGATTCACGAGCCCTTTGTACTACATTAACAAAGGCACGAGGGGTTGGTTGCACTCGATTGGGAAACCGATCCGCATAAATCAGTGATGCCGCGGCAGCATTTTGTAAAGACTCTCCCCCGTAGATAAGAATCATGTCCACAAGTTCAGCATTTTCGTAAACATGTGCCATTTTTTATTTCGTTTGAGCCACGCAACAAACATCACTATTTACTCACGCGTTACCGACTGACACATTGACTGAATACAACTGAATAAAATTGTAGTAAAAACATCGTGATAAGCGTTTCAAATTCTTTCGCTTTTTTGTTTCCGATGCGATGAACCGATAAGGCGGATTATATCCGTTGTTGCCAAACACGAGCACATAATATTATTATTGAGACAGGGCGGAACTCAAACTTCTAAAGGGCTATAACTTTGTTACTTTAATTTTACCAGAAAAATGTTAAAGGAAAAAACATTTCTTTTGATCAGATCTACTCACTGTTAAAATAAATAACTCAACTTCGAAGTACCAGAATGGACAAAATTTGTGTTGCGGGATCTTGGACATGATCACTGACAGGCTGGTGACAGCTGTACGAACAGAGCTTTTATCGTTGAATAGTTCTAATAACAAATGTCAAACGGGGTTCGGTCGTATGATCTCGCATGCCAGCGCGATAAATCTCACTACTTTCAGGAAAAATGTGTCTTTGATAATTCCAAAATTTTCCTCGCTATATATCGCTATATATTTGTGGTAACGCTTGCCGTGAACATGTAAAAAGGAATTTTATTCTTTAAACAAATCTGATGCATTTTTCCTTTGTCAAATGATCCATAATTAAAATCCCAGGTTTCTAAATGACACAAGCGGGATATATACTAAGTAACAGATAAAAGAAAGCTCAGTAATAATGAATTTATTGCAAAGATATGTTTAGGTCAGGACGAAAAACTATCAGCATTTCACCTATTTAGATAGAGTTTGTTATATCGTCTGTCCAAAAAAAGTGACTAAACGATAGTTGTGTCTTGTAGCTACAATTGGTATTTGGTCATTGTGAAGATCTGCATTGATATGTTCATTATGCTTAGAGTGAGAAGATAGTGGCCTTGTGTGAAACTGCTTTGTTGGAATAGTGTTGGCAGTTTACAATGAGAATACGAGGCCGGTTAATGTTATCATCGTGTGCTGCCATCTATCAGGCGACGAATGATTGATAGGTTAGTTTGGATTTGGCAGCCATTCGAGTAACACGTGTTTCGTGATTTTCGCTAAGTTGGAAAAAGAGCAGTATCATTCGGTAATTCGCTTTTTGTTTATGTGGGCACTTCGCCATCTATGACCACAGTTAGATATTGGTTCAACGAATTTAAACGTGGACGAACATCCGTTTTCGATGAGGATCGACTAGGACGCCCGGCAGATGTCGTTACCGAGGAAATCATTCAAAAATTCCACGACATGATTTTCGCTGTTCGACGAACGAAAGTGCGCAAAGTACTCGTAGCAGAGGCCGTAGGTGTGTCGACCAGAATGACAATCAATATTTTACATGATAAGTTGGCTATGAAAAAATTGTGGGCCCGATGGGTGCCGCGACTGCTCACGGTGGACAACAATTGAATGCGGCTGTTAACTTCGAAGCAATGTTTGGAGCGATTTAAGCGAAATCCGAAGGAGTTGTTGCATCGAGTTGTCACCGTCGATGAAACCTGGATTCATCATTACACACCAGAATCGAAGCAACAATCAAAACAATGGATTTCTCCCGATGAGTCTGCTCCAAAGAAGGCGAAGACGGTCCCATCGGCCGGAAAGGTCATCGCGATGATTTTTTGGTATGCGAACGGCGTCATCATCGGGGATTTTTTAGAAAAAGGGAAAACGATCACTGGACAATACTATAGTGAGCTATTATACTGCTTCGACAAAAAATTGGAGGAGACACGGCCACATTTGACGAGAAAGAAAGTGCTGCTTCACCAAGATGACGCACCAGCACATTCATCTGGAGTTGTCGCCGCCAAACTGCATGAATTGCATTACGAAGTGCTGCCGCACCCCCCGTATTCACCCGATCGGGCCCCCGACTTTTGCTTGTTCCCTGACATGAAGAAATGGCTCGCGGGGAAAACGAGGAAGTCATCGCCGAGACAGAGACGTATTTTGGAGAGTTCGACAAATCCTATTTTTTTGGAGGGGGCGGGGGGTTAAAAAAAATGGCAGGAACTTTGGGATCTAAAAGGGAATCATGTTGAAAAATAAAAAGAAATTTTTTGGAAAAAATGTTATCTTCACTTTTAACACGGGTACTTATTGAACCGCCCTCGTAGCCCTAGATTGCCACCTGTCATTTGTGAGTAATAACATAACTGTTGCCTGGGTGAAAGGTCATTCACAATTCAAGGGTAACATTGCAGCCGTAGACTGGCAAAAAGGGCTGCAGAAACCAGAACGGTGGGCTTAGTGCGACTGTCCAGCTGTCATATCAATCCGAGAATCCATTCTGGGGGAACGTTGACCAGCGTAAGAGAAACTCCGCTGGGTTGCATCGCCACCTTTTTCAATAGTCTGATCCAGATCTGAGCGACCCCTGGGGAAGGCATACAAGGGGCCCAATGGGACCTAAGCGTTGTGATCTGGGTTGATTGTCTTTCATCCTGTACAGAATACAGAAGCCAGATTGTGTTTGGGGATGCATGATGGCCATACAAAGGTGAGAAGGCGAACAGATGAAAGATCATATTTTCCATTTCCTATGGAAGCGAATGTGTTGGAATTATGGTATTGGGGGTTATTGCTTATAGAAGCAAGTCACCTTTGGTGTTCATCAAAGGCAAAATGACCGCCGTGCGTTACATCCAGGAGGTGAGGGACCACATGCTTTGCCTAATATATGGATGCTTACAACCTACATTTCCAACAAGGTAATGCGCGATGACGTATCTATAGCCAGAATTATGTTGGTCCATTTTGAAGACAATTAAGTCGATTTGTTGGCGGGACACCTAGGTCTCCTGATTGAACCCGTCTGGGACATTATGGAAAGAATGTTAATCCGTTTACCCCATCCTCCACAAACTCCAGCATCACTTCGGCATGAGGTATAAGCAGCCTAAGATGAGAAACCTTAAGACCATCTGATTAGAAGTATACGCAGACGTGTTTCTGAGTGGATAAGACGTCGTGGAAGCCCAACATGCATATTTTTTACATTTTTTTGGAGAGTTGGATTTTTATTAAATCTTAATGATATATTTACCTAACCCTGATAGACATGTATGCAAAAAAATGTTGCAATTATCATTATTACTGGGTGTTCTTCACTCTAGGTCAGTATACATTCGTGGAAATACTTATTGGTATGCTTACTTTTTAGTGGTGGACTTCTTGGATTTTGAAAATTCCACGGTTTATTAATTTCTCCATTTTGTTTCAGTGTAGCGTTTGTGACGTCACAGTGACCATCACAAACGGCTACCCGAGCCACTGGCATGCTGCTGCGATCGCCGCGCATGGCGAGGGAGTCACCCACCCCCAAAGCATCGTCAGTGGCCGCCCCGAATGCTTCTGCCGCCCCCGGTCAAGACTGTCCTGACGCCGCCGCGCTGCCTCCATCCAGTGTTGCCGCACTGGATCAGCAGCATCATGGCCACGGTGCGCATGTGCTCGACTACGCTCCTGCGCCTGGGTGGACCGCGCATGTTCAGCAGGAGACCGGAAGGCTCTACTACTGCAAGTAAGTTGTGCATTGTGCGTGATTATGAAGATATTTATACTATGTAGTTCAACCCAAGTAGCATTTGAGTTTGAAGATTATTTACGTGTGTCTTGCATCATGGTATTGAAAAAAAGTTTGCCTTGGAAACAAACAGTTTCGAACTAGTTTAGAACTATTTTCCTGTGCATACCTGAGTTAATTACAGTTCACCACTAGTTTCAAACTATTCTGCTGGAACACAGAGTGAGGAAGTTCCCTATTTCTTGAAACGCACTTAAAACCATAGCCTAAGTAAAACGCTGTACAGTACTGAAAACAATTTGAATATCTAAAAAAATGGAAAAATTTACTCTACCCAGCAGTTTCTTATTTGGAAGAATATCTTGCTGGAGCGCGAGAATGGGTGATGATGTTAGATGACACCAGCTACCAACGCTGCTACAAAGAAGTATGTTTCAAAAAGAGTTAAATAATGCTCTATTTCGAACAGTAGCATGTTTATTAGATACCCAGCTAAGAAATATGTCAATTTTGGCAATTATGCGACATTATACAATAATACATAAATTATATCTTGAAAACGTATAAAACTGTAATTTGAGAGCAATCGACAATCTTTCGGCAATCATAGTCGTCGTACTGGATCCTCCATATATATTTTTAAAGAAATATAGATATTTAACTCATTGTTAGCAATCTTAAAAACAGTTGAACCTTGATTCTGAGTGCGATCAAAATATTTTTTTGCACATGTACACCACATTAAATCTGCCATTTTGATCTTCTACAAACGTAAAGGGTATTTCAATAAGTATGCAATAATCCAAGGTTCTAGAAAACATGGTATTTCGTAACAAACAACTGAAATATTTATTGGATTATGGTGTATATGTTACGATCAATACTCGAATTGGGACATTACCCGAAAAAAATGTAAAAAACTAGTTGCCAGCAACAATGTTTTCCCAAATCCGAAATATTACTTTTGTTTTGAAAATTATTTGTTGATGCTTGTGAGTTGTGGATGTTTTAATCATTATTGTTGCTAAATATTTACATAAACATGCAAACTGAATTTGACTATCAAGTAGTTCATCTACTTATATTGGAGGCTTCAGGAACCCAAAAACATAGCCTTATGTCAAAAGATCATTACTTTGCCACATTAACTGAAATTAAGGAGGCAAATTTGTTAAAAGCCAAATCGAAATCTCTATCTGCTAAACAGTATAGAAGAATTAAGCGCTTTGATATAATAAGAAGATTCCGATTGATGAACGGCTTCCGATCACTCACCAGGCACATCTGGCTACAGGTCATAAACGTGATAAAGGTTTGTTTAGCATGATAATTTTTTTGTTATTACGTGCAAATGTGTACTTTGTTTCAGGATTGGAAGAAGAGTTAAGAAAAAATATGCAAAGATTACTAGAGAAGTTATTAAAATATACCTAAAATTGTGTGAAACCTGTCAATTGAAGAAAACTGCACATAAGAAAGGCAACTTAATTAGTTTGCATACTTTGAAATGAGCAAAACTAGTTCTTCTTATTTTGTAACACTCAAAACCGAATACAAGTAATATTTCAGATTTGGAAAACATTGCTGTTCACAACTAGTTTTGTATGAATTATGTATGAAACAACACATCAGATAAATTTCTGCCACGGCTCCGCTGGCATATTCGCACCTTTTTAATAAAATTTGTGATAAAATTTTTGAATACATGTCGTCCTATCTCGTTGATACAGCGTCTGATTTCAGCTATCAATGCTTCGGTGGTTGCACACTTGTAGGCATAAACTTGTAACTTCAGGTAACCCCAAAGCCAAAAGGTCAAAGGTGTTAAATCGCAAGAGCGTGGCGGGCAATTCTGGTCACCAAACCGGGAGATGACTCGACCAGGAGCAAACTCGTGCAAAATTGCTGCGTATGGTCTGTTGACATAAGCTGTTGAGTCAATTGGACTTTGTAGGCATGCAATTGTAAATATTTCGTTAGAATGTGCTGGAGAGTCGAGATTGGTTGTTTTAATGTCCAATTCTTGAACGCGATGACGAATCGAATCGACCACTGTGGTAATAATCTTTAACAATTGGGATGCGCTGTTCTGTCGTGTAATGATACATTTTCATAAGCTCCCCCCTGTCTACCATCGATCTGTCTTGTCACAATCATTATGACATTTTGACTGCCAAAATGGCGCGTAATTCAAATATTGCGTTCTTATTGATACACCCGTTATATCATCTTCGTTATCAGCGATATGGAAAATGTTTTTTTTGTAAAATTCCGTAGAGTCGATTGCCTGTGGGCTTTTTATAAATGTTAATTCGTGCCAAAGCATAAATGTTATGCAATAGTATATTTAACTTTTCACCATTATTACGTCGTTTGTCATCACGAACCAGTCAACACAGAAAATGTCATAAATTGCTTAAACTTTAGATTGTCAGAATAATTCTTTCTTATGTATTAAAGATACCAGCAGGGATATCAGTTATACTATTATAATGCAAGTGAAACTAGTAGGACTATAGGAAACTTCCCAATTACATGGCTTGTTGTCGTGAACATATCCCTGATCCCTAGGAAGTATTATTTAAAATTAACAAGTTACATGCTGGACGTGAAATTTGAGATGATTTATTGTTCCATGACGTGCCGCGAATCTTTAAAAAAATTGGGAAAACGAGATGGCAGATTTAACAAGAAGTGTATAGCTTAGTGACATATTTTAAAGAAGTCTTTTTTAGAGCTGTAATAATTCATCAAAATGCTAGATTAGCGATTAAAAACAAAGGCTTACAATAACACTACTCTCTAAAATGCTACGAAATTTTCTTCACGGATTTTCGAAGAAAATTCAGGAACTTTGGCAACATTAAAATTTTCATTCTTTCATATTGTTTTTCACGGTCGAAGCATAATTTGCTTCTTTTCAAGTACAAAATCGCTTATATCTCGAAAACTATCATCTTTACAGCAAAGTTTAGAGAATCTTATATGTTCAAAATTATTCAAAAGGGACCTTTGACTAAAGGGATTTTTTTTGAATGATTTGAATGAGTTTTGTGTAATTTAAGGCAAAAAGGGTTTTTTTACTAAGATTACTTAAAAATGGCGTCAAGTAGGTTGAATGCATTTTCCACGCAACTCCGTCATTAGTTCAGCACAAGCTAGACTCACTGAAAAAAATATTTACGATGTATTCCAAAGAAATTAAACGCATCAAGTCAGTCAAACAGGCCTATACAATCAGTTCAAAAACATCCTTTCCCTGCTCTAACATCCATCGGGTAACGTCACCTCTTCCCGATACCTGACCGCACGACGTGTCAGACGCGGAAGCAGGGCACAACAGCAGTAATGGCAGGACACTTAATAATACTGGGACGCTCGCCGGTAAACCCAGATAAGAGAATGAGAGGCGCGAATCGAAAACATTTCTCTTCATTCTAAGATTTAAGGGCAAATGTACGGAAAAAGCCATAATGTGTGGAATCATCGGTGTTGCAAGTGTATTGATATACTAACATCAAAACATTGCGATACACCCTCACCTACCCTCACACACCCCCGCCACAACTCCATCCTGTAGTTCTTTACTCCTGAAAAATGTTTCAATAATGATCAACATCAAAAAACGAAATTTGAGCGATTTTTAGTTTTCGTTTTTGGCCCTTTTCTCCACCGCCTCTGGACCGATTTCAAAATGTCATCCAAATCCCAGCAGTTATTGCCAAGTTGCAGACAGACAGACTGCCAGACTGACCGACAAACCGACGGAAATCAGTGACGTTTTTTTGTGGTGTACATATACAAGTATATGTATATGTATATACTCGTATAAAGAGGGTGGCCCATCCATGTGTGGCCGGTTATATACGACATTTGAGGGCACATTTCCAAAATATTGGCAATTGTACAGGGTGTCCCAATTTTGACCTACACATCAAAGTTGTGATTTTTTAAATGGAAAGCCTCAAATTTTATTGCTTATTTTCATAAATCAATTAAAAAGAAGAAGATTGATATAACATACTATGGGATTTTGGTAATTAGCTACTGAGATGTAAGGTGTTTTGTCCAGAACAACCGTACACTTCGGCAGCCCCTCAATCCGCTATTTTGAAATTTGGAGTGCTAAATTTTGTATCAAAAAAACTTACACATCTCAGCTTTTATCTTATTTATTACTTTTTCGAATTTTCATTTTTGCTCATATAGGGTGGTCAAAAACGCGAATTGTATCTACTTTTTCTAAAAAATTTCAAATTCATCACCCTGTATATTTGCGCAAGTTTGGATTCAGTTTTTTGGTATGAGGTTTGATTCAAATAAAATCACTAGATTTTCAGTTACTAAGCTTTTAATAGAACAACTCACCAAAATTAAGGAAAAAAAATCACATCATCCATGGAAACAAAAGACTAACGGTATGCTAGTTCCATATTGCCACTAAGTGTACAGACTTGACGTAAAACCTAATAACAATCAGAACAGTATCAGCTTCAAGCGTAATAGAGAAAAATAACTATGACAACAACATAAAAAACAATTATCACTATTCAAGACCTAATCTACAAAAACTGCTCGAAAATATCTCCACCATGTTGAATACACAACCATAGTCTTTGGATAAATGACCGTTGAACATCCCTCAGTATGTGTTCCCTTATGCTAAGAAAAGCATCCTTAATCCTTTCCTTCATATTTTCCGGGGTAGATGGTGGATATCTATAAACCTCTGCTTAACGTAGCCCCATAGAAATAAGTCCATCGGTATCATATCTGGTGACCTAGAAGGCCAAGATATAGGCCCATCACGACCGATCCAACGATTGTTGATCCAGGTGTCCAAATAGTCACGCACATGATTATGATAATGCGCAGGTGCGCCGTCATGTTGGAGGTACATATGTATCCGAGTTTGCAGGTTGACATCCTCCAAAAGCAAAGGCAAATGCTCGATCAAAAAATTCAAGTATTCTGTACCTGTTAATCTGTTGTCGAAA